AATTGAAGAAATATACATTAAGTGTTCGGGAGAGAACTCAGAGCGCATGACATTCGTGCAGGTGTCCAGATCTAATGGTTGAGAAATACTGATTTTAAAAAAAAATACGGTGGCATTTTCGTAAATAACTTAACATCGAGGTGCAAGTAGAATGTATTACAAGTACAAGTAAAATGTATTACAAGTGCAAGTAGCAGTACAACAATACGCCTCATGGGGGTGGAAATTAGGGCACGATGGAGAGTAGGGGACGGCAAGTCCCTAGATTTTTGGTCCGATTGGTGGGTCAATGACAAGTCCCTTGGTCTTGATATGGAGATTGATATTCCGAAGAACCTCTACGATAAAAAAGTTAGCAATTTTATCAAAGATGACCGTAGTTGGAATGTTACGTTGATGCCTTGTTAACCTTTCTGCGGGAGGAGCTGGTGAACAAAATACGAGCCATCCCCGTCCCTGTTGACGACTCCACTGTCGATACACTCACTTGGCAGGACAGCACGTCAGGTACATTTTTTGTGGCCTCTGCCTATAGTCTTATTTCATGTACGGTGGACGAGAACTGGCCATGGCTGTGGAAGCTCAATTGCGTGGAGAAAGTAAAAACGTTACTCTGGCTCCTGCTCAAAGGCAGGATGTTTACTAATGTGGAGAGAAGGAGAAGACACTTGATTGACGACAGCACATGTGCAAGATGCCGAGATGAAGAGGAGTCTCTTGTTCACCTTTTCTGTGATTGCCAGTTCGCAAGGGAGTGTTGGGAGGCTATTGAGACCTACGGTGGAAAAACTCTAAAGAACCACCTCCTAATGAACGCCTGGATTGAGAGTAATGTTCATAGTAAAATCGTCACTAACGACGGTGCACCTTGGAGCATCACCTTTGTTTATACTCTTTGGCAGATCTGGAAGTGCAGAAATAATCTGATTTTCAATAACAACTCCGAAACTCCGGTACATGTGGCCAAGTTGGCTTGCACTTTCGCGTCCGAAGCAAGAGCCTTTATCATCAGACATGGAGGAACGTCACAAGGATGCTATAACTGGGTCACCTGGACCCCTCCGCAACCGGGGTGGGTTAAAATCAACATAGACGGAGCAATGAAGTCTTGCACAGGGTTAGCAAGCGCCGGCGGCATTGTCCGGGATGATCACGGTTGTTGGGTTATAGGGTTCGCAACAAAAATCGGTGTTACAGATAGTTTCTCAGCGGAGTTGTGGGGCCTAAGGGAGGGTTTAAGGCTCAGTCTAGGAGAGTGGTTAATGGACTCTGCAGCTGCGGTGCCGTGATGAATAGGGGTGATCACAGTGAAGAAACCGTGGTGACCTTGGTCAAGGACTGCTTAGACCTCAGCAGAAAGTTTCGCAAGTTCAAGATTTCTCACATTATGAGAGAAGGAAACAGATGCGCTGATTGGCTCGCGAATTATGGCCAGAATATCACTTGGAGAACGCTTTTACTCGACTCAGCTCCAGCGGAGCTCAATGATATCATTCAGGCTGACTCCCTGCAGCAGGCCTAGTCTAAGGGTTCGATAAGGCTCTCCTTTGAGGGCTTCAAACTTACCAAAAAAAATATTGCACCTAAGTGCAAATAAAATTTATTACAAGTGCAAACAAAATGTATTACAGATGCAAGTAAAATTACACTGAACATCAATACTTAGTGCACATAACGTTATAATTAGTTGTACCTAGGTGCCCGAATGTTAACAAGGTAAATTACTTGCACTTGTAAGTAAAAATAGGTGCACTTGTATGTGAAAATAGGTGCACATGTAAGTGATTTTACTTGCACTTTTTACTTGCGAAGGTGCACCAGCTACGTGTACTTATAACACATTTACTTGCGCCAAAGTTTGAATTATTTACGAAAATACCAACGCATCATTTTATAAAATTATATCTGATTCGTTGGTCTAGACACATGGACAGCTGTAAATGTTTCTTATTCCTCTCCTCTCTCTCTCTCTCTCTCTCTCTCTCTATATATATATATATATATATATATATATATATATATATATATATATATATATATATATATATATATATATGTCAGGCTTGTAGGCCAAAAGGCTGAGTCTGGTATATATAGTCCTGGTCTGTTTAGTTTAATAAGCTTTGATATAGGTCAAGCCTGACCTTTTTACTAAACAAGTAAGGTCTAATTAGCCCTTAATTAGGGGCATGGTCTATTCCCAATTGTTATGCCATGGACCCAGATCCACCTTACAAAGGTGAACCTGGGTCCAAAACGACGTCATTTTATTCCAAAACGGCATCATTTTACTTCAAAACGACGCCTTCTGAATTAGAACAAAAATTACTTCCTTCCATGTCGTTAACTTATCGTTTGTCTTTAAAATTCGTTCTTTTATATTCGTAATTTTTTAACTCTATATTCACAATTTTAGAACTGAATATTCATGATTTTAGATCTCAATATACAAAATTACAGAATTCAATATTAACAATTTTTTAACTCTATATTTACAATTACAGAACTCTATATTTACAATTACACAACTATATATTCACAATTACAGAACTATGTATTCAACAGTATAACACAAATTTTTAATCTATATTCACAATTTTTGAACTCTATTCACAATTTTTAAACTCTATATTCATTAAAAAAAAAAAAATCATTGGTAGAGAAAACACTGCCACTGACAACATTGTTATTTCAAAATGGTAGGTCACCTTGTAAGGTGGATCAGGTCGACAGCATAATTTGCCGCCTATTCCCATACTTATTTCTGTTCATAGATTTCATCTTTCCATCAATCTTCATCTCGATCTATCTTCATACTTATTGACTTATCTTAATTTTTGTGCTTAGTAAATTTTCTTAATTTGATGAATTTTTGTTTCGCTTTAACAACCAAGAGATAGTAAACTATTTGAGGTTCTATTTCCCTAATACATTATTTTTGACATCATTAAAATCTAGGAAAAAGATTAAATTAACCTCTTAAGTCGAGTAGATAGTATAATTGAGCTACTTAATTAAAAATAAAAGCTCCATTAAAACCTTCTAAATCGATAAAAATGTTCAATTGATTCCAAATTGACTTGTTTAGAGAAGGAAGGGTGGTGGCCAACAACCAATTTTTCTTGGTCTCCGACCTTTTCGTCTTCAACTGGAGGAGAGGAAAGAGAAGGAAGGGTGGTGGCCAGCAGCCAATTTTTGCTTTTATTATTTATTTATTATTATTATTATTATTATTATTATTTGTTTTAGTTTTTATTTAAACATTATTAAAATAATTTTTAAATTAAAAATTAAATTGACGACATGACCATATATGACACAAATTATAAAGTCATACACTTAATTTTAAAATATTAATAGTCAATGATACAAATTATATAGTCATGCACCTAATTTGATAATTTTAATAGTCAATAACCAAATTTGATACATGTACTATACACAAGGTACCAAAATAGTATTTTAAAAACGACACCCATCAGCCATGAATTAGTAACCTGCTAAACAAGTCAGGAATCAATTGAACATTTTTGCTAATTTACAGGGCTTTAATGGAGCTTTATTTATTTATTTATTTACTTGAGGAACTCTAGGGGCCAATTAGACAATTTTCTTAAAATCTGTATTACACTTCATTAACATACACTCATAGACCCATGCCACACTAGACTATATACTTTTACAGCGCAAATTATGCCGAATGGTGAACACGTGTTCAAATGGCGCCGTTTTTACGTTAAAAAAAAATGACGAATGTGATGTTAACGGCGCGCGTTTGGTTAGATTATGAATTTTCTGTTATGAGATTATGAATGTACTGTAAATTCATAATCTCATAATAGATAATTCATAATCGCATAAAAGAAAAACATTTATTAAATTATGAATTTTATGTTATGAGATTATGAATTTACTGTAAATTCATAATCTCATAACAGAAAATTCATAATTTATGAATGTTGAAGAAGCTTGCGCTACAGAGGAGCAACCATGGTTTCGGACGGGAATGTGTAGGCATGGTTCCAAAGTGAATATGCAGGCATGGATTCATAATTTATGAATGTCCGAAATCATTGCTCACCTCAAATTAAAGTGAAACCGCGAAATGTGAAAATGAAGAAGAAAAGTCAAGCAATTAATTAAGGAGAAAAAAAAAAGAAAAAAAAAAAGAGAGAAGATAACGGTGCACTAACACCGTTGGGACCATGTTCACCATGAATGGTGAACACGGTTCCATGGCATAACGATTGCTTTTACAGGGCGTTTGGTTGAATAGGGGGAATTATGTGGGAAAGGAATTGTAATTCCATGGGAGATGAATTACTGGGAATAAAGTGGGAATTTAAATTCCAGTATTTGGTTTACAGGAATAGAATTACTGGGAATTTCAATTCCAATGTTTGGTATACATGAGAATTGAAAGGGAATAAGTAATATAAAGTCAAAAATGTCCATTGTTGTTATTATGCATTAATTTTAGGTTAAAAAGGAATGGGTAATTTTGACTCATCACTATCTTTTTTTCTTCCTAAAATCCCAGGAACTAAAATCACAGGGGGACATGGGATTTTAATTCCATTACAATGGGGGAATTGCAATTCCTTTCAACCAAACAAGGGAATTTTGTGACCTTTGAAATTAGGTGGGAATTAAGTGGGAAGGGAATTAGTTTTTGGTTCTTAAAGCTAGGTTTTGCCTGATAGTCCTAAAATATGTCAAATTCAAACATAATGCATTAAATTTGCACTAATGACAAACTATTTAAATGAACAAGCAATAGATAGCCCCTGGATTTAGTGTAGTGCCTTGTTAAGATTGAATATTGCATATATATGGGTTCTAAAATAAAATTATAACTTGTTCAAATTAAAAGATGGTTTGAGCATTTGAAGAGTACACAGTACTAATAATGATTTGCAATTGAACTTGAATATTTGTATTTATCACCTTAGCACTTTGGTTAGTATAGATTTTTAATGATTTTTTCTTCAATTATTTAGGTTCGACCAATAGTAGAGGAAAACAAGGTATTTGGATTTAAAAAGGATTTGGAAATCATAGAGGGCCGTTTCATTGAGGCATCCAATAATTTTATTGTCATCCCAATTGTGGGGATAACTGGATCTGGAAAAACTATATTTGCCTCGAAGATTTTCGAAGACCAAAAATGCATTCATCAAAATTTCAACAACTACATTTGGGTTAATGTTTCACAAGGTTTTGATATAAAACATAAATTCATTGACATCATCTATCAAATTACCAGCCGTAGAGAGGACATTAGCATGATGAATGAAGAAGGGTTGGCCCGTGAAATATATGAACTTCTAAAGGATGAAATGTACTTTGTTGTATTGGATGATGTACGGAACAAAAAAGATTGGGATTCTTTTAAAGTTGTATTCCCTACAAACTTGAAAGGAAGTAGGGTGTTGGTGACCTCCCCATATGGCAATGTCGTTGATTCTAATTGGAAATCTCATAATTTAGGAATGTTAAGCAATGACCAAGGTTGGTTGCTGTTGAGAAATAGTGCTTTTGGTACAGACGAATGCAATGAGAAATCATTAGAGAATGTGGGGAAAGAAATAGCAAATAAATGCAATGGATTACCCCTAGCTCTAGTAGCGGTAGGTGGTATGCTACGTCAACGTAGGAATATTGCTGACTGGAAACGGATTGTTGAAAATCCATTTTTAGAAATTAATCGAGAAGGTCAAATCTACCGTGACCGAGTAAAAATGACTTACAATGATTTGCCTGATGAGAAGTTGAGAAATTGCTTCCTATATTTTGCATATTTTCCCATAGGACACAAGATTGTTGTTTGGAAGTTGTTTCGTTTGTGGATTGCTGAAGAATTCATTCGAACAATAGATGAGCAGGGGTATGCTTTAGATGCAGAAGTTGAGGCTCAAAAATATTTGAATGATCTCGTGGATAGAAATCTTGTGGTGGTGGCAGAACCAAGAATAAATGGGCAAATAAAAACTTGTTGTATACCCGACACATTGCATGAGTTTTGCAAAAGTGAAGCTGCAAGGATAAATTTGTTCCATGTAGTGGATGAGGGTCAAAGATTAGATGAGAATACTTCTTCAATTCATGATAATATTTCTTCAACTCGCCGTCTTTGTTTCTACTCCTTTGATGTCCTCATCAAACACTACAGCCAAGAGAGGAGGACTAGTTTATGCCCATTTGGCAAACATATCCATTCTTTGTTGTTGTTTTCCTCACAAAAGGGTCAAACTTATTTTAGTAAAGAGCAATTAGCAATCATCCCAAACACCTTTCCACATCTTAGGGTGTTGAACATTGAATTCTCCATTGAGCTTGATAAGGTCCTACCGAATGAGCTTGATAAGGTCCTACCAAATGAGCTTTATAATTTACATCTCCTTAGGTATCTTGCCATCAAAAGCGATCTCAATTTCCTCCCCAAATCATTCAAAAATCTTTGTGGATTGGAGACTTTAGTGATCGAAACCACATCATGGACACTACAAATTGATGAAGGCATATGGAACATGAAAAAGTTAAGGCATGTGCACACCAATACCTCTTTGCAATTACCACCCTTTCCTCGAAAAGGAAGCACAACCAACTCTGCAGGAAAAGACATCCGCACACTTTCTTCAATATCGCCAACAAATTGCTCAACAGAGATCTTTCGGAAGATCCCCAACCTCCAAAAATTAGGTGTTCGTGGGGATTTATCAAAATTTATAGAGGAATCGGAAATAAGTTGTTCATTCAAAGAGTTAAAATGCCTTGAAAACTTGAAGCTCTATGGCCAATATGCTAAAGTGTTAACGTTCCCAAGCGGAATCGTTGATGCAAGTAGGCTAAAAAAGTTGAGCTTCTCCGGCACACTGTTTGAGTGGAAAGATATGGCAGTATTGGGGAAGTTGGAGGAGCTTGAGGTGCTGAAGTTGGATGACTATGCATTCAAGGGGGAGAGTTGGGAACTAAGCAATGATGTTGTTTTCAAACGCCTTCAATATTTACGCATTGGAAGGACGAACCTAATAACTTGGAAGTTGACCACAGAGAATAGCTTTCCGGCTTTACGAAGTCTAATCCTTCGAAACTGTAGCTCTCTAAAAAAAATTCCAGAAGCTTTTGCTAATGTTCATACCCTTGAGGTGATGGAATTGTTTCACATGAGTGAAAATGCTGTTCAGTCTGCAAAAGAGGTCAAAGAAAAGCAGCTCGAAAACTGTGGATTCCAGCTCCTCATACCCCCTAAAATGGTAACTAATTGTCTATCTTTATTCCCCATTTATTCACTACTGGAAATTATGAAATTTTTGCCCACTTGAAAGTGATCTTAAATCAAGTCGAAAGCCTTGTTCCGATCGACCACTTTTGGTATCCGGAAAAACCTTTGTTGCTATTTACGACCACTTTTTACTTTCAACTTGATTTAAGATCACTTTCAGGTGATCAGAAATTCCATAATTTCCAGTAGTGATTGTTTTAGTGATTTAACACTATTTCATGAAATACTTTAATTTTTCATTAGTAGTTTATTCGTGGGCATCCAATAACTAGAAAGAAAATTTTAGGAGAGATAAAAAATAATTTTTTATATTAAAATTAATAGTCAATATAATAAAATGATTAGGGATAAAATTATAATTCACCCCGTTGCTTACCTCTATGGTTATTGTGTTTGAAATAGCTGATTGTATGTGCCATTAACAGGGTTTTCAACTAACAATTGACTTGGTCTGTTTTCCCTTGATCTATAGACACTCGTAATTTCATAGAATCTACTTTATATTATAGGATGCAATTTCCTCAATCTACTTGATATGGTTATTTATACTAAATTACTAATTGCTCAATATAATACTTGATTAGCTACAATTAGTCCTATTGTGAAATGTAATATTAAGTTTCCAATTGGGATATCTATTGGAGAAAAATCATTAGTTGTCAAAACAGTTAAGACATTCATTAAATAATCTTTAATATGGAAGCCAATTAATTAATATTTAGACTTAATTTGGCAGATTTTATTTTAGAATTATAACTTCTTTTAAGTTATTAATTGATAAGCTGTTTTTTTTTTTTTGTTTTTTTTTTGAAAACAATTAATAAGCTGTTCTAAGCTCTATTTCGCAAGAATTGACCAACTTAAAATAAGCTTTAATATTCAAACTTATTCTCCAATGCTATAATAAGTAAATAAGACATAATAAGCGCTGAGTTGTTTACTAGCTTTTCAATTATCAGCTAGTTTTTCTTTTATTATTGTTTTTTATTACTTTCACTAACTTTTTAGTTTGGCACAACAGAACCGCCTCTAATAATATTTTCTTTGTCACATTTTACTTATTTTGTTTAGTATTTAATTATTTATTGGTTAAACTAACTCAATTTTTTTTAGTATTTTCGTATTATTTTTAACTTATTTTTTGTTTGTGAAATAGTACTTTTTAATGTAATTTCTAAATATATAAATTATATAAATATATATATAAATATATATATAAATAAATATATATATATATATATATATATATATATATATTAATAGTAAATTTAATTTTATGAAAAATCAAATTTTAATAACTTTAGACAAACATTATTAGTTCAACTAGAGATATAAATAGGATGGATGGAGTAATATTTTTAAAAAAAAAATAATAATTTGTAAAAGTTTTATTTTAAAACATGAAAATATATATAAAACCCTACATTTAAGTTGCATCTCTCAGAAATTAAATTCATCTCTTAATTCTTCAGGGAAAGGGACCAATGATGGTAGGCACGATGATAGAGAAAGCGGTAAAGGAAATGGTTGAATTTGTAGAGTGCTGTAGTGATTGGAGTGGTGGGCCTCCTGGCTTATATTCAGAGTTAAAGGATATGAGCTTGGAAATCCAAACGTTTAATGCCAGGCTCCATGAAGCTTACAAGAATTCAATTGCATCTCTCGATGTTTTGATGTTGAAAAGCTTTCAAAATATTGTGAATGAAGCCCGGGATGCGGCTGTGAAATGCATCTTTCTAAAAATTTCCAGTACTCTACTCACAAAGTTTTTGGTACTAAGATATAAGAGAAATGTCAAATCTTGTGCGAGTGAAGTCCAGTCTGTTAGGTCAAAGATGATTATGTTTCGCCAACAACACGAAAATGACATTCAATTCCTCACGAAAATGTGCTGGCGCAATGTTCTGCTACCAACTGTCGAGGTACCACAAAAGCTATTGTTAAATTATCATATTTCACATTTGTTTCAGCAATATAAAACATGATCATATTCGGTTAATTCCGTTAATAAACTAAAGAAAAAAAAAAAAAAAAGAGAACAATTTAGAATAAGGAGAAGAAAGTTAAACTTGAATCCACATAGAGAAAAAGTGTATTGGGAGGAACCATTTTTGTAGAAAAAAATTGTATGTTTAGTATCTAGAATTTTTTTTCCCATTTTTCTAGAAAAATAAAAATAGAAAATGTATTTGTTTAGCATTTTTTCATTTTCTATTTCGAAAATTATTTTTCTATTTCCAATCTAACAAAAGATTTGTAAAATAGTTTTTTCTTGTTTTTTAGATTATTTTTTCCAAATAAAAAGCACACATAATGTAATCTATAATCATTATTATTATTATTACTTACAAACTTCCACCTAACTTATCTATCCACTATTTATTTTCAACGCGTTATACACAGAAATAAGTATCATATCCAATATTATTACTCAATGTTAAAATCATTTTATTGAAATAGTTTTTTTTTTTAAAATAATAGTATATAAATTTTAAAAAATTCATAAAATTTATAATTGTAGAATTCATAATTTCGATAATCCAAAAGAAATCATATGAATCCTAAACATGGACAAAAGTAAATATTATGGTAAAAATCTTGTGGTCAAGCGACATAATTGTAGCTAAAAGAAAATTATGTAAGCAGTGTTTAGGTAATCAATCAAATATAGGGTAAGTTAAGAGAAATCATAAGAAATTACAAAAAAAAAAAAAATCAATATTTAAATATTCAATTAATTCTCCTTTAGAGTATTTTAGAGAGTATTTAAAAAAAAAAAAAAAAAAAAAAAAAAAAAAAAAAAAAAAAGAGTAAATGCTATATGATAAATTCGACTACGGTTTGTAGATATATATGTGTGTGACGTCTGTGTGTATATGAGCATGTTCCACTATGTCTCTATGTCTATAGCTATATCACATTCAATTTCGTATTTCTTCACAGATAGGTGGACCGCAATTGATTGAGAAAGTAAAGGAATTGGTAAACAGGCTAGTCCAAACCGTAGAAGACAATAGTAATGTCAACCTGGTTTTTGACATTATTATGGAGAAGTCTGAGATAGAGGACATGACCTTCCAAATCAAAACATTTAGTGAGAGCTTGATGAAAGCTAGCATGAGCCCACTCGCCAAAGATGAACACCGTGTTTGGAGACTAATAGTAAACAAATTCGTAAAACATGTGCGTGAAGCCGAGGATGCGGCTGACAACTACTTTGCACAGGAGAAGAAGTATGGATTGGCAAAAGCTTTTGATAAGATTCGGCTTTGTGGAAAGCTCAATAATGTTGCGAGTGAGATCCAGTCCATTAACAAAAAAGTGAAAACCCTTAGCGAAGACCACAAAGAAGACCTTCGACGCCTCCAGGAGGACTACAACAAACGTAGTAGTGGTCTGCCACTTCCCAAGGTACCAAAAAATCTATTCCCAAATTATCATATTTCAAATTATTTGTTTCAATAATTGCAATACAAGATTGCATATTCGCTTACATCAATATGGAATTTATGGGTAAGTTTGCGAACTTCAATTTTATAATGAACCTCGTTTATTTAAAAAAATGATCTTGAACCACAAATTTGCCGTTATCCTCTAAGCCCCAACTAATCTTGTCCTGCACTTGTTGAAGGGAATCTTCATAATTAGATCAGCATCTCTAGGAATAAAGATGTTCCTAATGGTGGATTCATCCCAATCATGAGTATTGGGATCAATAAGATCTTCCACTTTAGAATTCTCCATGAACGGGTAAGGAAAAAACAAAACCTTAGGGTTATTGTTATCCGGCAGCCAATTGGCACCCCAAATATTCGTCCGCGCCCCATCTCCAATTCTCCATCTTGAGTGTTTGTGGATGATATCTTGTGTAGCCATCAAGCTGCTCCATATAAAAGACGGATTGGCTCCCACTTTGGCATCAAGAAAGGATGAGTTAGGGTAGTATCTCGCCTTATAGACTTTGGAAACCAACGAGTCGGGGTTGTTGGTTAACCTCCAAGATTGCTTGCACAATAGGGCTATATTGAATTTATGAAAATCTCAAAACCCGAGTCCTCCCCACTTTTTTGGCCTGCACAGAAAATTCCATCTCTTCCAGATGATAACAGTACTATTTCCCCCGCCTCCTTTCCACCAATACGAGTTCATAGTGGGGTCTCAACAGCTTTGATTAATCCCTTTGGCATAAGAAAGACTCCCATGGCATAAGTAGGGAGAGCTTGAAGAACAGATTTCAAAAGAATCTCCCTTCCCGCTCTAGATATGAATCTGTGGTTCTACCCGTGAATCCGGCTGACAATACGGTGCTTGATGAAGCTAAGAATTTCAGTCATGTTCCTTCCTATCATCATAGGGAGCCCCAAGTAGTTTCCATTGCTGCTGCTATAGTCAATGCCCAGAATATTGCTAAGCCTATCCCTCACAGGTCCAGATATGTTTCTGCTAAAGGCCAGCGTGGATTTGGACAAATTAATACTTTGACCTGATGCCTTCTCATAGTCCGAAATAAGATTTTTCAAGTTGTTTGCTTCCCCATCAGTGGCCTTGAAGAAGATAAAACTGTCGTCGGCAAAGAATAAATGGATGATAGATGGTGCATTCCTAGCAACTGTGATGCCATGGATATATCCCTTTCGCTCATAATCCTTGATCATAGCACTAAACCCTTCTTCCACTAAAATGAACAAATACGGAGAGATAGGATCTCCTTGTCTTAGACCCCGTTGTGGTAAGATGAGACCAATTTCCTGACCCTTATTGAGCACAAAGTAGGACACTGTGGTTACACATTCCATGACTAGCTCTATCCACTTAGCATCAAATCCCATTCTGATCATGATGTTGCGCACCAGAGGCCATTCTAGTCTGTCATAGGCCTTACTAATATCCAATTTGAGATATGCTAATCCATGTTTCCTCTGAGTTTTCCTCTTCATAAAATGTTGCATTTCAAAAGCTAACATTATATTGTCGGTGATCAATCTGCCTAGGACAAAAGCTCTTTGATTTTCAGAGACTAAACCATCCAATAAGGCTTTCAATCTGTTGGCCATGGCCTTGGCAAGAATTTTATAAGCTACAGAGCCTAAAGCGATAGGCCTGAGGTCGGCCATTGTCTCCGGAATGGTTTTTGTGGGTATAAGTACAATCTGCGTGGTATTAATATCCTTCGAGAGCTTCCCAGAACACAGAAAATTATTACAGAAACTAACCAAACTCTCACTTAAAATATCCCAGTAAGATTGAAAGAAACCTGGGTTGAAACCATCAAAACCCGAACTCTTATCGGGATGCATGCCGAACACGGCCTTCCTAATCTCAGAGACAGTAAATTTCCTTAAGAGCAAATTATTCTGGGAGCTAGTGATGGTGGGGTTTATACTGTTAATAACAGGATTGCAATCTCCAGCTTCCAAAGTGAAAATATTGGAAAAATAATCTCTTACCAGATAATTCAGTTCTGGGCCTTGCTGAACCCAATCACCATTTTGATTGCGCAGTCTCATGATTTCGTTGTTCCTCCTCCTCTGATTAACTGCATTGTGGAAGAACTTAGTGTTGTTGTCGCCCCCCTTTAGCCAGAACAATTTCGCCCTCTGCTTCCAAGTTGATTCTGTCTATCCAGTAGCTTAAGGAATTGGTTCTAGGTCTCTGAGAACTCCTTCATACCAATATCATCCGTTCTGGGTCTGAGAATTCCCAAGAGACTTTTGAGATTATCAATTTGAGGCTGCATGTTCTTGTTAAAATCTTTGTAATTTTGCATTCCCTCTTTTCAAACAGATTAACTGGATTAATCAATTGACGAAATATACTGACTGATTCAGCGATGAAGTCAGTCAGTAATAATAAATCATAGAGAAGATTAAAGAGAAGATAACAGCACAAAGCCAAAGACACAGAATGTTTACCCAGTTCGATACAGTGTGTATCTACGTCTGGGGGACGATCACATAGGCGTCCAATCCACTAAATCATAATCCAATGTACAAAGGTAGATATACAATAATCTTACCCAAGTTCCCCACACAAGGTACATACCCAGTCTACACAGGTTTAGTGGATTGTTGAAGATGGAGAGCCATGTATACAGAAGTCCAATGAAATCCCTTCACTTGGAGAGCCCACTCTGATGCAGTCCACTTCAATGACGCTCTATACAGTTGTTCCCACAACAGTGTGATCACAGTGTCCTTTTGTTTAAGCAGCAGTGATTCTTCTCAAGTTCATCATCTTAATCACCATGAACATGTTGTGTTGAGAAGATGCATGACAATCAAAGATTTAGTCTCGTATAGCAGATGTGGAGTGTTTCTTCTTACATTCAGCGTAACCCTAATTCTTGTCGAATAAGAGTACTTATAGATCCATCAATAAACACTCTCCATGGATATCTTTGATTGTAGAAGGTAGGACTGTAAATGAGGAATGTAATCTTTGAAGATTAGGTCCATACCTTTCCAGAAAATATACGCTGATCTTCTTTCCAAACTTGTCTGCTTATACCGCGTACAACCTTATAGAAATCAGCTTCCTAAATCAGATCTTCAGTGTCAGTCCTTCTGCTGTTGCTTCTGATTGATCAGTCGTCTGTAGAGCTGGACGAACACACGCTAAACCTATCTTAGTATGCCATAATAATATTGCCAATTATAAGATGGGGTTTTTGAACAATTAAAAACACTAACAATCTTTACCCCATTTCCAAATTTCGTGACTGCACAGTTCGAATCTAGTGCTTAGTAGAAGACCTTCTGAACTAGACCAACTTTGGTGCACCATTTCACGACACTGAGCTTCCTTCAACCAATAATTTTCAAATTTGAAGCTTCTTCTTCTCCTTGTGCATGTTGAGGGTGACGACCAGACAACTAGAGGGATGTGATCGCTAGACGGCGCCTCAAAAGATTCGGCTTTGGCTCCTTCGAAATTGTCGAGCCACGCATTGTTGACAAGAATACGGTCCAGTTTTTCCCTAATCCATTGAGATGTGCCTCTGCCTTTTTCCCAAGTAAACTGATAGCCCTTGAAATGGTAATCCCTTAGCCCACTGAAGTCGATTGCCTCTTTGAAACCTTGCATAAACCACTGCGGTTGACGGGCACCTCCGATTTTCTCTTCAGGAAGAAGAATATCGTTGAAGTCGCCCATAAGCATCCAAGGGAGAGATGAGGCGAGAGATAAATTTTTGAGAAGGCTCCAGGTGAGTTTCCTTCTGTCTCTTTGGATTCCCATAGAAACCTGTAAAACGCCAGGTGGAGGGGTGAGAGCATGGCTTGATGATGGCGTTAATATGATTAATGGAACTGTCTGAGATGTCTATAGTTAATGATTTCTTCCAGATCAAAGCTAGGCATCCACTAAGGCCCACACTATCCACTATGAATAAAAAATCAAAGCCCAAAATTTTACGAATATCTTCCATTTGAACCGAACCAAGTTTAGTTTCCATCAAGAATAAATGAACCAGCCTCTTGGTGTGAACCATGTCCACTAGAACTTGAACCGTCGTTGGGTTGCCAAGCCCCTGACAGTTCATAGAGATAAAACTCATTGATTTAGGCGGGTCTGCGACGCAGGTCCCGCCTCTAGCAAGTTTTTTGAGAGACTCGGATCAGTAGCAGCCTTGAACAACTCTAAATCAATGGTCAAAGCGGAGTGCTCCGGGCCTCTTTTTTTTTTTTTTTTTCTTCTGGTCAGGGCCACTTATAACTGGGCCTTGCAAACCGGGCTGGAAGGTTGGGTCCATGTTGAAGGAAGGACTGGGGATAAGCATCTTAGTAGAACCTAGCTCATTAAATTGGTTAATAGACAACTTTTCCATCTCAGCCGCATATATTTGACTTTGGGGTCTAAGGCCAGCTGTGTTAGGGGCTGAATTAAATACGCTACCTGATACTTTGCTGACTCCTGCCATCTGCCTCTGCTTGTCACCAGCCTGAGCAATATCCGTGGGGTAAAAACCGTGTGCACATTCCTTTTGCCCATTGGGTACCTCGTACCTCGACTCTCGTTCCATCTCTGTCTCTTAGTCCCGGTCATCCACGTTACTTCCGGCTGGTGGATTTATCTTGGACGGGAACTGATCAAGCACCCATTTTTTTTCCGCTGTTTTGATTCCAGCGGCCAGCCGCTCTCAGCTCCGGCCCATAGGCCATCGTGGTCTCCTCACTCTGGACTAGGCAAAAACTTTCAGCATGGCCGATTCTTCCACACACAAAATAGAACGTCGGGAGACGTTCATACTTACATTCAAGTGTCATGGCTCCTCTTCCTGGTTGTTTAAACTTGACTTTCCTTCTCAAGGGTTTAGTGATGTCGATGCGAACACGTATTCTCACAAACGCCTTCAGAGTGCCATCAAAATTAGTAAGATCAGCTTTTATGAACTGTCCGAATGTCGCACCTATAGCTTCAATCATCTGCATGTTGGCAAGTTTCTGGGGTAGTTTGTGAATCTGGACCCAGAATTCCGCTTTCGTTAGGTCAACACAGTATGGTAATTCGGAGTGTTCAAGCTTTTGCAATACTAAAAGGCTTTGTTCAAAAGACCATGGACCGTTTTCCAGCACTCTACGTCTGTCTTTCTCGTGGAAAAAGTAAAAGATGAAGAGATTCGTAGAGGTTTCTTCTCCTACCAGACCCTTCATTGGTCTCCATACTGTTGCAAGGGTGTCTTTGAAGAAGTTGAACTTCACAGTCTTTTCCGTGATAAGAGTACCGACCACCATGAACGACTCCACCTCTTCCACGTTCGCGTCGCCGTAAGGTAGGTCGACTTCCTCTTCATCGTCATTCTGGATGTTTAGGTTGGCATATTGTTCTTCAAGGGTTCCTTTGCCTTTGCTACTGGAAGCCATTCTGGATGATGGGGGGTGTTGTATGATGATGGGTGTTGGGGGGTGTTCTTTGCTGATAGAATGCAAGAAAGCGATATGTGGTGGGGAAACAGTGTGTAGGCAAGGCCTCTTAAACCCTCGTCCTGATAATGAATGCTCACCAAATTTCCTTTCGTCATTAATAACAGCCATAAATGTGAGTCATCAATGAAGAGAGACAGGTAGGGGGCCAACCAGAAGATTGGAGAGAACAGAAAAAACACAAATGGGGACTTGTTAACAAGAACAAGAGGGAAAGGCTTGTTAACGAGAACAAGAGAAAAAGAACGAACGGAGGAAGTAACTAAACCAGCGACTCAGAGAGAGATTTCCCGCGACATTTTAAGAAATCTCACAGCTCGGACGATAGTGACTTGCGCTTTCCTTAGTGTATAAAGGATCGGAGAAGAGTGGAGTAGAGAAATTACACAACTTCCGAACAACTATAAATCTATCTCTATCACTTTACATTCATTCATCTTTCTATTCTTTCTTAAAAAGTTTTTGTGCATCAAAATTATCACTACAAATTTCTAAAGTATTTTGACTATCTAGTTAACACTTCAACATAGTCTTAAAATATTATGATGAGAGATTAACACCCTTTAGTCTATCTCAAAAAGAATTTTCTTCAAAATTGAGAATAAGTTTTAAAATTATGTACAAGTCTATTTACCATTTCTAGACTTTTATCTCAACCCATGACAATCATAATGCATGAATAAAGTCAAGAAATTAAATTTTCTCAGTATAAGTGTGTTAGAACAAATAATCTTGCGAAAAAAATTATAATCTTGTTTAATTTTCTAAGCTGATGAGTATGCATATGTATAAATCTTTATAAAATTTGTTGATATATGTGAATTATGGGGAGCTAAGAAACGTAAGATTATTTGATCGAACTGCGTGTAAAGAAGCTATTTTTTATCCTTTAAAAAAAAAAAAAAGCTATTGTTTATCTAAGTGCTTCTTTCAATCCCATTGTTAGTTATATTCCTTCAATTGTACTAATGATTGGGAAGTGAATCCTTGGCATCCTCCCGCCCCACTTGATTAGTATATATTCATAATTTTTCAGGTTCGCGAAAACAAGATGGTTGGCTTTAATGATGATTTGAAAACCATAAAAACTCAATTAATGGAAGCATCCGAAGATTTTTTTGTCATCCCAATTGTGGGGAATGCTGGGACAGGAAAAACTACATTTGCCTTGAATGTTTTTGAAGACCTGGAAATCCAGGAATATTTCACCCATTGTGTTTGGGTTCATGTTTCACGAGGCTTTTGCAGAAAGCAAAAATTCATTGACATTCTGCATCAAATTTCTAACCAAACGGAAGACTTTAGCACGGTGTTAGAAGATGTGTTGGAAGCTACAATAAAGAAAATATTAGATGAGGGTGAAAGATACTTGATTGTATTGGATGATGTGCGGGAAAAAGAAGATTGTGATTCTTTAAAAGTTGCATTCCCTACAAATATGAAAGAGAGTAGAGTCCTGGTAACCACTTGGAGTGGTAATGTAGTTGATTCTACCTGGAAATCTCATAGTTTAGGAAAGTTGAGCAATGATGATGGTTGGTTGCTAATAAAAAACAATGTGTTTGGTATAGAGGGAGGGTGTGACACATTAATTGAAGAGCTTGGGATAAAAATAGCAAAAAAGTGCAATGGATTACCACACGCTCTAGTACTAGTAGCTGGTATCCTAGGTATAACTCATGCTTTACCACCTGCTTGGCAACGAGTGGCGGATTATCAGCTTATTGAAATTAACGAAGAAGACCAAAGCTACCTTGAGCTAGTAAAGTTGAGCTACGATGATTTGAATAATGAGTGGTTGAAAAAATGCTTCTTATATTTTGCATATTTTCCCATGGGACATGAGATTGTTGCTTGGAAGTTAATTTGTTTGTGGATTGCTGAAGAAATCATTCCAAAAGGATATGATGAGAACCTTTTAGATCAAGAAGTTGAAGCTTCAAATTATTTGAATGTTCTTGTTAATAGAAATCTTGTGATGGTGAAGAAAAGAAGCGCAGATGGTCAAATAAAAATATGTTGCATTCATGACACATTGCATGAGTTCTGCAGAAGTGAAGCTGAAAGGATAAATTTATTCCATGTAATGGATGAGGGGCAAAGATTAACTGCAAGAATTTATTTCGATCGTCTTTGTTCCTACTACACTATGAACATATTTGATGTAGAAAACAATCCATCTGATTCATTCTCCAATCTCTTCAACAAAAGGAGAGGTCCACGTCAAGATGGTAAATATGTTACATCTTTGTTGCTGTCTTCCTCACAAAAGAGTGAGATTCATTCGACGCCAGAGCAGTTGGAAACCATCCTAAAAAACTTTGAAGATCTTAAGGTATTGAATATTGAATCCCTCAAATTTAGCTCGCTGCCAAATGAGCTTTATTTCCGAAGCAAAATCAGGTATCTTGCAATAACAGCTGATATCAGTTCCCTCCCCAAGTCATTTGAAAATCTTGGTGAATTGGAGACTATGGTGATCAATACCACGGAACCAAGGTTACAAATTGATGGAGGCATATGGAACATGGAAAAGCTAAGGCATGTCCACACCAACACCTCTATGCAATTACCCAGCTCCCCTCCCAAAAATAGCTCTAGAGGAACAAACATCTGCACACTTTGTACAATATCACCAGCAAGTTGCACAAGCGAGATCTTCAACAAGACCCCAAAACTCCAAAAATTAGGTGTTCGGGGGAATTTATCAGAACTATTTCTTGAGACAAAGCAAAAAGTTTGTTTAATCAACAATCTTCAAATGCTAAAATGCCTCAAAAACTTGAAGCTTCATGGCAACTCTGAGAAAGTAGAGTTGAAGGTCACAGTGTTTGATAAGTTTTTGAGAAGGCTAAGAAAGTTGACCTTGTCTGGTACATTGTTTCAGTGGGATGATATGACTGTATTGGGATCACTGGAGGAGCTTGAGGTGCTCAAGTTGGATGACAATGCGTTCTCAGGGAAACTTTGGGATCTAAACAGTGATGTTATTTTCAAAGGGCTTAAGTATTTGCGCATGGGTAAGATGAACCTCATAACTTGGACAGCTGTGGACTCAGATAAAAGCTTTCCAGTTCTTGAAAGCCTGATTCTCAGGAATTGTATTTCCCTGCAAAATATTCCAGAGGATTTTGCTAATGTGGACAACCTTAAAGTGATGGAACTGTATAACGTGTGTGAAAGAGTGTCTGATTTTGCAAGAGAGATTTGTGTGAAAAGGCATGGCAAAACAAATGTCAAAATAAATGCATTCAACGTCTTCATCACTCCTCTTCAGTCACAAGCAACGGTAAGTCTCCAACTTCAATATTTCCAAACTTTTATAGGCCTTGTTTGGTAAAAAAAAAAAGACCTATAGGCCAATTTTGACTTATTTGACTACTATTAATTGTTTGATTTAGTTAAAATTTCAATATAAATATTTGGTTAATTAACTTTTTGCAACTCCAAAAGGCTAAAATTCAAAAAGCTACTCCAAACAACTTTTTCAATTAGCTTTTTCATAAAAGAAATTATACCAAACAGTTATCAGTTAACAACTAATTTACCAAACACTTTTCTACAATCAGCTAATATTATCAACTTTTATACCCTCTAATTAACACAATCAGCTAACAGCTAACAGCTAACAGCCATTTACCAAACAGGGTCATAATCTTTTCGGAACTTTTAAGGGTTTTTTTTTTTTTTTTCAAAATTAAACAGTAAAGATGAATTTCATATTATTTTTAAATTCCCATACAACTTCAAATTGTAAGGTGTGCTAAAACATCATAAATTTATACTTTATTTTACATGAAAAAAGAACTTTAAATGTAAGTTTTATTAGATTTGTGTTTTGATGGTGGGATTATTTAAGTGAAACATATGGCAGCAGAGGTTGCAAATGAAAGCAAGTTGATTATTTATTAGATACAAAATCGTGATTACTAGAAAGGCTTATTTTACTATGTTTATTTATTTTTATTTAAAAAAAAAATACTTTAGATTTAATTGAAGTGATAGAAGAATTTGAATTTATATTAATCCTCTACTGGTACATTACTTAGCATATGAGAATGAATATGTCAACACCAGTGCATTCTACTACCTTGCACCTTTATTTCGTCACAAGAAATTGTAAGTATATTATATCGACCTTTTCTATTATATGCAATTGTCTTAAGTTTTTGTATGTTTTTAAAATTTAAAACATTAATTGTAAGTTTTATTATATTTATCTTTTTTTGAAGCTTTTAAGGTTTTTTTTTTTTTTTTTTCAAAATTATACAGTAAAGATCAATTTCATATTATTTTTAAATTCCTACACAACATGAAAATGTAAGGTGTGCTAAAATTTCATAAATTTGTATTTTCACAAAAAATTACTATATGGATAGAAGTCTTTTTCATAGAGCAAAATTGTCTTTTAAGTTTTTGTATGTTTTGAAATTTTAATTGTAACATTAATTAATTGTAAGTTCTATTAGATTTATGTTTTGGTGGTGGGATTATTTATTTATTTGAGAGAATGAGTGAAAGATACGCCAGATGTTGCAAAGCATGTTAATTATTTAGTAAGAAAAGAATTGTAAATTACTCGAAAGTTTGCTTAATATTTTTATTCTTTAAAAAAAAATCTTTTGATTTAATTGAAGTGATAGAATTGAAGAAGAATTTGAATTTTGTTATATTAATCCTTACAGGAACATAATCAAGAATATGGTGAGGTAAATGTCAACACCAATGGATTTGAGCACCCCAACACTTCTACTTTGTCAGAAGAAATTGTAAGTATATTGTTCTGCCCTTTTCAACCATACAATATAATCTTTAGGGAGATTTGAATTCCAAAGTGTGTATAAAATTAATTATAAATTCTATTAGATTGATGTTTTGTGGTGATATTGTTTGTGAAATAAGCAATATATATGTCTGCAAAGGTTGCAAATATTAATTATTTAGCAAATAAAGAATCGTGAATTACGAGAAAATTTGTTCATGTTTTCTTTTCAAAACACCTTTCGATTTAATTGAATGATAGGCCATAGGGGAAGAATTTAGAAAACCTCTCTTTCAATATATTATTCCTACAGGTACATAATAAAGCATATGGTAAGGAAATCACATTACTGTATGGTTACAATATCTTATATTATATAGGCTCTGTTTGGTATGCTTAGTTAAAAAGGTTATTGAAAGTTGAAAACTGAAACCTGAAAAGCTAGTAGCTAATAAGCTAATTAATTGAAATTAAAGAATTTAGTAAAATTAATGGTTGAATTAATGATAAGTGTAAAAACTACTAAAAAGACATAAAATGATGAAGTAAGATATTATGATTTTGATTTATGAGGGTTAGATGGTGTGAATTTTGTAAATTAATAAAGAAAAAAAAAAAAGAAAAAAAAGTGATGAAGTCGGGAGCTCATTTTGAAATAGCATTTCAAAATAAGTTATTATTTAAACTCTACATGTTTTACCAAATAGAACTTATAACTTATTTGTAGTTTAAAATAAGCTATATGCTCTAAAATAAAGTCTACCAAACAAAACCTAAAACAAATTTATTTTCAAGATAAGAGTCCACAAAAATATTAGATATTGGATTGGGTTATATTAAATAGATCTTCAATTTAATTTGAATAGAAATATTTTCTATTAGATAAAATTGGCACTAAATTTTTTGTATGTTTTAAAAATTTATAACATTAATTGTAAGTTTTATTATATTTATGTTTCGATGTGATATTGTTTGAGGGAATAAATGATGTATAAGTATATATGCCAACGTAGGTTGCAAATATGTTAATTATTCACCAGGTAAAGATTTGTTAATTACAAGATTGTTTGTGTAATATTGATTTTTTTTTTAAAGTTGAAGTTAACAACAAGATTCTAAATTGGATTTTCATTAAGAGACATCTTTTAGCCTTCTAAGTTTGATCCGTTCATTTATGTACAATCAACCTATGTTAGTTTATCTATTTATGATTTTCAAAGTAATATTCCGTTAGAAGAAGAGTTTGAATTTGTTTCTTGTTAAATATATTATTCCTACAGCTACATAAGCAATCAAAAGGGAAGGAAAAAGTCAACATCAGTGAATCCGATCACCCCAACATCTCTACTTCATCACAAGGAATCGTAAGTATATTGTCTTTGGCCTTTTTAACCATACAACATAATCTTTAGGGAGATTTGAATTCCAAAGTGCGTATAACATGCATTAGATGTAAGTTATATGAGATTGATGTTTTGTGGTGATATTGTTTGCGGAAATAAGTGATATATGTCAGCAGAGGATGCAAAATATGTTAGTTATGTAGCAAATAAAGAATCGTGAATTAATAGAAAATTTATTTTTGTTTTCTTTTCAAAAGACCTTGTCCCTGTTTGATAAATGACTGTTAGCTGTTAGTGATTGTTGGTGGTTGTTGGTGGGATTATTTAAGTGAAACATATGGCAGCAGAGGTTGCAAATTAAAGCAAGTTGATTATTTATTAGATACAAAATCGTGATTACTAGAAAGGCTTATTTTACTATGTTTTTTTTTTTTTTTAAAAAAAAACTTTTGATTTAATTGAAGTGATAGAAGAAGAATTTGAATTTATATTAAAACTCTGTAGGTACATAGCCCTGCATATGAGAATGAATATGTCAACACGAGTGGATTCGACTACCTTAGCACCTCTATTTTGTCACAAGAAATTGTAAGTATATTGTCTCGACATTTTTTATTAAATGCAAATAAGGGTGAGCATCAGTCGATTATGGTTATATTATTATTATACAGTAAAGATCAATTCCATATCATTTTTAAATTCCTATACAACATGAAAATGTAAGTTGTGTTAAAATTTCATAAATTTACTTTCACAAAAAAAGTACTATATGGATATAAGTATTTTTCATGGTGCAAAATTCACTAGTACAAAAATGATTATAAAAATTTAATAATTTGTGTCTGGTGTATAGAAACTGAACACGTAAAGTGAGGTGATGACAATTTTATAATTAAAAGTTTACTATTAATTTTTTTTTAAAAAAATAAATGGACTATCTACGTCCATTGTATGTGCACAACAAACGCAGATAGTCCTTAGATTTTTTTATTAGTTAAATTAGAATATGCGCACATGTCATCTGTCAACGTGTCCAAATCTAACGGATGAGAAACACTGATTTTTTTTTAAAAAAATATTGTGATATTTTCGTAAATAATTGAAAATCAAAGTGCAAGTAAAATGTATTCCAAGTGCAAGTAGCACTTTAATATAGTGCATCTAAGTGCAAGTAAAATGTATTATAAGTTCATGTAAAATGTATTTAAGTAAAATTTACATTGAACATCAATACTAAGTGAACCTAACGTTATAACTAGGTGCACCTAATATTTTAAGTAGTTGCACCTAGGTGCACGAATGTTAACAATGTAAAATTACTTGCACTTGTAAGTGAAAATAGATGCACATGTAAGTGATTTTACTTGCAAAAGTGTTCCAACTACTTGCACTTATGACACATTTACTTGCACCAAAGTTTGAATTATTTACGAAAATACCACTGCGTCGTTTTTTTTTTTTTTTAAATTACATCTGATTCGTTGATTTGGACACTTGGAGAACCGTCATGCGTTCTTATTTCTCTCCAGGGAGAGCGTTCTCACCTGAGAGCGCCTATATATATATATATATATATATATATATATATATATATATATATATATATATATATATATATATATATATATATATATATATATATAGGCGCTCTCAGGTGAGAACGCTCTCCCTGGAGAGAAATAAGATATTGATGCGGAGTATTCCCCAGTATGACCTCCTTATACGTTCATGCTCTGACTTTGTATTCAGATCGGGGTTAAACGATTCGAGTCAACGGATCAAAGTCAAACCCGCCAATCGTTGGGCCAATATAAAGGGTCTCAACCTTTCATTTTAGGGTTACGTTCTTCCCCTTTTCTCCTCCATTCCCTACTCTCTAAATTAGACAATGAATAGAAAATCCTTGGGAGCTATTTTCTCTACTCTCTATATTATTTCTACAGCTTACATTATACAAGATACACACTCTACATACACGGAAATTAACCGTGTATATATAGGGATGCACTCTTGTGCGAATAAGTGCCCAGGAAAGAATATGAGAATGAATCAGCGCGCGACACGTGTCTTCGGTGCATGTAAGATGTGTTATATGTGCAAGTAGTTGGTGCACCTATGCAAGTAAAAAGTGCAGGTAAAATCACTTACAAGTGCACCTACTTTCACCTATAAGTGCATGTAATTTTGCCTTGTTAACATTCACTTCCCACAAACATTCATGCACCTAGGTGCACCTACTTATAAGTTATAACTATATGTGCACCTACTTTCACCTATAAGCTAGTGCATGTAATTTTGTCTTGTTAACATTCACTTCCCGCAAACATTCATGCACCTAGCTGCACCTACTTATAACTATAGGTGCAACTACTTATAACTATAGGCGCAACTACTTATAACTATAGGTGCACTTAGTATTAATGCTCAGTGTTAATTTTACTTGCACCTATAATACATTTTACATGCACTTGTAATACATTTTACTTGCACTTCGATGTTCAATTATTTACGAAAATGTCACCGCGTTTTCTTTAATCCATTAGATCTGGACACATGTCGCGCTTCATTCGCACCCGAGTGCAATTATATATATATATATATATATATATATATATATATATATATATATATATATATATATATATATATATATATATATATATTTGGAAAAATTAGCTTAAAATGGCATATTAAGTGGTTATTTTGTGGTACAATTATCAGTGGGGTCCACTTCCGATTTGGGTCGGGTCTAAGTGGATTCGAATTCTTCGTAGTAAGACGAAGAGATTGATATATTGTACGCTCAAAACGGATAATGGGTGAATGAGATATTGATTCTCAAAGTAGACCCATTTGAGTTGGGAAATGAAGGGAAAATAGTGGACTTTGTCCCACATTGGTTTGGAAACAAGATTTGACCCCTTATATACATGAGCTCTTTTGAAGCTTGTAGAATTGTATAGCATAGAGGCTCTCTCGCGCGGGGGGAGGGGGGGGGTGCAGATCAAAATCCAACTAGAGGAGATCGAAAGGCTTGATTCAAGCCCGAGCTCGCGTGCGTCGGCACCTGCGGGCACGAATGTCGTCCGGAAACTCTCGGGTTGCACCACAACACGCACGAGCACGAATGTCGTCCGGAAACTCTCGGGTTGCACCACAACACGCACGAGCACGAATGTCGTCCGGAAACTCTCGGGTTGCACCACAACACGCACGAGAGATGTACTCTCGTGTTGTTGGTCCTTATGCTCCCGTGTGCACCTGCACCCCCCGAAAGTTCAGCCTGTTGTACAGACCCGAAAGTTCAGTTGTACAGATTAAACTCATCTGTTACGGAATTAATACTGTTTTAATTTCAATTCTCATCTGTTACGGAATTAATACTGTTTTAATTTCAATTTTAAATTCTGAGTTTAATCTTACTTAGTGGGTGACTGTTACAGGTGTTACATCTGTGCACATTTTTGCCTTCCACTGCACATTCTTATGCATTCCAGAGCACATTGTTTCTCCTTCCAGTGTACATTATTGTGACTTGCATGTAGTGATTTTTTTAAAATGTGTTTGTGAATGGCTGAGATGTACTGGCACGTTTTATATGGGGCTTTCTTTTCACTTGAACCCCACCATGTGTATATATATATATATATATATATATATATATATATATATATAAAATTTAAAATTAGCTTTTTTGATTTAATTGAGGTGATAGAATTGAAGAAGAATTTGGATTTATATGAATCCTGTATAGGTACATAACAACTTCGGTGGATTGAAAAATTCATATAATTCTAGCAGCTCTTCTTCATCACAAGAAACCTTAAATATTTAAAATTTATACATTGAATGTTCACAATTTACATGCTGGATGTTTACAATTTTTATATATTAAATATTCACAATTTCTATACTGAATGTTTACAATTTGTATATTGAATGTTCACAATTTTATATACTAAATGTTCACCATTTGAATCTTAAACATTTAATATATAAATTTCCTATGTACGAGCAGTCGCCGAGCCACAGTCCATCGCATAAAGTGACTGGCGAGATGGTGAGAACCATATATCCGTCTTACGAGTTTACACCGACTGACGGCTTTGCAATGGACGGGTGTTATCCGACTGGCAAGGAGGGAGTAACCGACGACGAGCAGTGGCGAAGCCACAGTCCATCGTTTAAACCGACTGGCGACCTGGTGAGTAGCAACTTTCCTATGTACGGGTTTACACCGACTGGCGACCTGGTGAGTGGCGACTTTTTAACCATCAATATGTTATTCCCTCAGGTACATAAGCAATCAAATGGTGAGGAAAATGTCAACACCAATGAATCGTAAGTATATTGTCTTGGCCTTTTTAACCATACAACATAACATTTAGGGAGGTTTGAATTCCAAAGTGCTTATAACATCAGATTTAAATTATATGAGATTGATGTTTTGTGGTGATAGATATTATTTGAGAGAATAAGCGATATATATGTAAGCAGATGGTGCAAAATATGTTAATTATGTAGCAAATAAAGAATCGTGAATTAATAGAAAATTTGTTTTTGTTTTCTTTTCAAAAGACTTTTTTATTTAATTGAATGATAAGAGAAGATTTTAGAAAATTTTTCTTTCACTATATTATTCCTTCAGGTACATGAGAAATCATATGGTAAGGAAATTAAATAACTGTATGGATTCTTATATTTAAACAATTTTCTTTTCAAGATAATCCACAAAAGTATTAGATATTGGATTGGGTTATATTAAATAGATCTTCAATTTAATTTGAATAGAAATATTTTATATTAGATGAAATTGTCTCTAAGTTTTTGTATGTTTTGAAAATTTATAACGTGAATTGTAAGTTTTAATTATTATATTTATGTTTTGATTGAGATATTGTTCGAGATAAAAAATGATATATATGCCAACATAGGTTGCAAAATATGTTAATTATTTACAATATAAAGAATTGTTTATTACTAGAAAGTTTTTGTAATATTAAAAAGAAATTGTTTTAAAGTTGGTCGAGTGATAACCACAAGGTTCTAAATTTTTTGTAATATTATCACAAGGTTTCAAGTTCGTCTTTCAGTGAGAGACACCTATTAGCCGTCTTGGTTTGATTGTTTAGTTATGAATAACCTATATTAATTTATCTATTTATAGTCCTTGAAGTAATACTACGGTAGAAGAAGAACTTCAATTGTTTTCTCATTAATTATTATTTCTACAGGCACATAAGCAATCAAATGGGGAAGAAAATGTCAACACAAGTGGATTCGACCACCCCCAACACCTCTACGTATTCACCAGAAATAGTAAGCATATATTCTTTAGCAAATATCTTACACATAAATGTTATATATAACATAATCTTTTACTGTGGCTCAAGGTGCTTGTGGTCCTCAAGCAAGGCCTTGAAGTTAGTTTCTTATATATAAACCAATTAATTTAATGTTTTTCTTTTCATTTTAAGTTTCAGCAAAATATAAGATATTGAATTAATTAGATTATTTTAAATATATTATTTGATTATTTCTTTTTAAAATGCGGAATAATCAACTAGAAGGCTAAAAAAGTTCGCCTTCAACTTCATCCACAAACCTCCCAAGTCAAAGATTTATGGCTTTCTATTTGTTTATCCCACATTTTGATTGGAGATTTAGGAGAGCAAAAATCTAATTCGAAGAAATATGTGCGCAAATTGCTAAAAGGAATCACATATTGTTTTAAATTGGAGTGCAAAACTTAAATTTCTAGTTTTACCCTTCATTTTAACACCAACTTAACGTCAAAGCTAACAGAGGACTATTTTGGCTTAAAATTCAAAAGTCGAAGGATCACTTTGGGGAAATTAAAAGTCAAGGGACCAATTTGAGAAAATATCATAGTCAGAGGACCATTTTGGAAATTAACTCTTTTGAAACGCCACTCCAAGTAGCATTTCAAAACAAGCTATTATTTTAAACTCTACGGCCCTGTTTGGTAAAAAAAATTGGCCTATAGGCCAATTTTGGCTTATTTGACAACTATTAATTGTTTGATTTAGTTAAAATATCAATATAAATGTTTGGTTAATTAACTTTTTGCAACTCCAAAAGGCTCAAATTCAAAAAGCTACTCGAAGCAACTTTTTCAATTAGCTTTTTGAGAAAAGAAATTATATCAAACAACTATCAACTAACAGCTAATTTACCAAACACTTTTCTACAATCAGCTAATGTTATTATCAACTATTTATACCCTCTAATTAACACAATTAGCTAACAGCTAACAACCATTTTACCAAACAGGGCCTACATGTTTTACCATATAGAACTTATAGCTTATTTGTAGCTTAAAATAAACTATAAGCTTTACCAAACAAAACCTAAAACAATTTTATTTTCAAGATAGAGTCCGCAAAAATATTAGATACTGGATTGGGTTATATTAAACAGACCTTCAATTTAATTTGAATAGAAATATTTTCTATTAGATGAAATTGAAACTAAGTTTTTGTATGTTTGAAAATTTATAACATTAATTGTAAGTTTTTTTTTTTTTTTTTTTTAGAATATTAGTTGTAAGTTTTATTATTATATTATGTTTCGATGATGATATTGTTTGAGGGAATAAATTATGTATATATGCCAACATAGGTTGCAAAATATGTTAATTATTTGCCAGGTAAAGAATTGTTAATTACTAGAAAGTTTGTGAAATATTGAAAAAATTGTTTTGAAGTTTGAGTAAACAACAAGATTATATTAAGTTGGATTTTCAGTGAGAGACGCCTTTTAGGCTTTTTAACCTTCTTGATTTGATCCGTTCGTTTATGCGCAATCTATGTTAGTTTATCTATTAAGTAATACTTTGGTAGAAGAAGAGTTTGAATTGTTTTCTTGTTAAATATATTATTATTTCTACAGGCACATAAGCAATCAAATTGGGAGGAAAATGTCAACATCAGTAAATTTGACAACCCCAGCACCTCTACTTCATCACAAGAAATCGTAAGTATATTATCTTGGACTTTTTAACCATATACAACATAACTTTAAGGGGGATTTGAATTCCGAAGTGCGTATAACATACATTAGATGTAAATTATATGAGATTGATGTTTTTTAGTGATATTGTTTGAGGAAATAAGTGATATATATCAGCAGAGGGTGCAAAATATGTAAGTGATATATATCAGCAGAGGGTGCAAAATATGTTAATTATGTAGCAAATGAAGAATTGTGAATTAATAGAAAATTTTGTTTTTGAAAAAAAAAAAAAAAAAAAAACCCTTTTGATTTAATTGAATGATAGGAGAAGAATTTAGAAAAATTTTCTTTCAATTAATATATTATTCCTACAGGTGCATAAGAAATCATATGGTAAGGAAATTAAATAACTTTTTGGATTCTTATATTTAAAAAATTTTGTTTTCATGATAAAGTCCTCAAAAATATTAGATATTGGATTGGGTTATATTAAATAGATCTTCAATTTAATTTGAATAGAAATATTTTCTATTAGATGAAATTGTCTCTAAGTTTTTGTATGTTTTGAAAATTTATAACATGAATTGTAAGTTTTAATTATTATATATATGTTTTGATCGAGATATTGTTCGAGAGAGAAAAAAATGATATATATGCCAACATAGGTTGCAAATTTACAAGATAAGGAATTGTTAATTACTAGAAAGTTTTTGTAATATTAAAAAGAAATTAAATTGTTTTAAAGTTGGTCGAGCGGTTGATTTAATTACCACAAGGTTCAAGGTTCTAAGTTCGACTTTCAGTGAGAGACACTTATTAGCGGTCTTGGTTTGATTGTTCAGTAATGGACAACCTATAATAATTTATCTATTTATAGTCCTTGAAGTAATACTATGGTAGAAGAAGAGTTTGAATTGTTTTCTCGCTAATTATTATTTCTATAGGTACATAAGCAATCAATTTGGGAGGAAAATGTCAACACCAGTAGATTCGACCACCCCAACACCTCTACGTTGTCACAAGAAATAGTAAGCATATATTCTTTAGCAAATATCTTACACATAAAAGTTATATATAACATAATCTTTTACTGTGGCTCAAAGTGCTTGTCACTAGCGGAAATTATTGAATTTCCGACCACCAGAAAGTGATCTTAAATCAAATCGAAAGCAAAAAGTGATCGGAAATAGCAACAAAAATTTTTTCGAATACCAAAAGTGGTCGGAACAATGCTTTCAACTAATTTAATGTCTTTCTTTTCATTTTAACCACATGTGGTCCTCAAGCAAGGCCTTGAAGTTAGTTTCTTATATCTAAACCAATTAATTTAATGTCTTTCTTTTCATTTTAAGTTTCAGCAAAATATAAGATATTGAATTAATTAGATTATTTTAAATATATTATTTGATTATTCTTTTTAACTTAGTTGTACATTTTTCTTCAGGTTTCTGATGATGATTAATTGTTCGATCAGCTATGTCAATTGCTTTTTTGAAATAAAAAGAATTAAAGTTGATTCGTTTCCTTTTCATGATGCAAAGAATGCGTCTGTCAGTGATCTAGAGGTCAGTCAAAGTCTTTAAAACTTGTTCTTTTAATATTTTTTTCAGTAATAATAATAATAATAATAATAATAATAATAATAATAATAATAATAATTATTATTATTATTATTATTATTATTATTATTATTATTATTATTATTATTATTTTCAGTGGATTGAGCTTAACTTAAATTTATTATTATGGTTGCTCAGAATTCTGGTTGGATGTTGGATGAATTCCCAAGCAAAGCATGAGTGGAGCGAATTATTGATGTTGAAAGCCAATTAAGCTAAGTGTGTGTTAGTGATTTCATATTGTTGAATTCGGAGCTGAGATTATATTTGTATTTTCAATTTGTGATTACTTTCATATGGTATTGTGGTATGTAGTCAATTAAGGAGTGAATGTTATTTATCGTTTTTGTTTCATGTACTGCATATTTGTCTTGACAGTATGACATGTACTGCATGTTACTGAAATAAATTACACACACTTTAAACGTTTCATTTCGGTGTTCGTTTTTATCAGTTTTCAAATCATTTATTATTGAATTTCGGCAAAATATTATGTCGACCATAAAAATTAGTACATTTTTAAAAGAGTTAATTTCGTTTTTGGTCCTAGATTTATATGTGGAAGTCCAATATATTAAAATTACATTATATATTTGTATAATGAATGTAATTATCCAGATTACGATTTTTTTAAAAAAAGAATTGAAGATGCCAAATCTATTGTATGTGCATAAATCAGTGGGGAGAAAGGGGAAGAAAAGAGGAAAAAGTGTTGTAAGAAATGAGGGATTTCCCTTCTTGTTTTGGGGAAACTGGTGTTCAAGTTGCTGATTTTTCATCATCAAGTGCTAATAATAAAGCTGCTGCTCAGAATTTGGTGACTTGTATATATCAGTGTAGATTGCGTGGGAAATCTTGCCTGTTAAACGTTACATGGAGTAAGAATTTGATGGGGCAGGGCCTAAGTGTGGGAATTGATGATAACACCAACCAGTGCCTATGTAAGGTTGATATTGTTGACTCAAAGTGTTTTGTCAAAATTATGTGCAAAAGGAATTCCAGATCTATAAAGGAATACCAAGCTTAAGAGTAGTTATTGAAGAGTACTAGTTCTAAAGGAAATTGTTATTGAAGTTTTTAGTTCTAGTCTGATTATGAATAACTTTATTATTCACGAATCTGTTAGGAATAGCTACTATAAATAGGGGTTGTCCTTTCTTGTAGAACTCAAGCTTTCAAGATCTAATTGTGAGGTACGAGAGTCTTTGAGAATAGGATATTAAATTCCCCTAGAAAGTAGTACATGTGTTTAGGTTTCAATAGTTTGGTAGGAAAGATCATTCTATTGTGTAATCTCAGGTTCCTAACAGTGTACTTTAAATATTGAACTTTTAGTGGATTTAGGCAAGTTCTCAAATTGAGAAGTGCCTCGCAGATTAGGGTTGATTGCCCGAACTGCGTTACATATCATTTGTGTTACAAACGTTAGCTTCAAACGTCACTGTGTGCTGCGCTTTTATATATTTCAATTGGTACCAGAGCCAAACTGCTTAAGTTATTAGCAGGATCCTAATGGAGTTTCCCAGAGAAGGACTGTCAAGCACTAGGCCACCTGCCCTTATTGGCACAAACTTCTCCTACTGGAAAGCTCGAATGCAGATATACATTCTAGCACAAGGAGAAGGCGTCTGGAATGCAATAGAAAACGAATGGAAAACTCCAGTCGATGACAAAGGAAATGCAAAACCTAGAATTGATTGGAGCGAAGAAGAGAAAACTGAATATAACTTTAACTCAAAGGCTATGAATGCAATATATGGAGCAGTAAGCGAAGACACTTTTAAACTAATTGCATCAACTCGCATAGCCAAAATTGCGTGGAGTATATTGTGCGATCATCATGAGGGAAACACAACTGTAAGACAATCTAAGCTTCAGATGATACAAACTGAATTTGAAAACCTGAAAATGGAAGAGGAAGAAAGCATCACCCAATTCAGTGCCAGAGTTTTAAGTATATCCGGAGATGCATTCAACTTAGGCGAACCTATACCCGAACAAAGGATCGTCAAAAAGGTACTACGCTCACTACCCGGAAGATTCCAAATGAAAGTCACCGCTATTCAAGAAAACAAAGATCTAAACACCTACAAACTGAGTGATCTAATGGGAAATCTTCAAACATATGAGCTTGAGATACTGCAAAAAGGGAAAAATAATGACAAAGGAATTGCGTTCCAATCAAAGCAGAAAGGAAGTCCAGAAATTGATATTGAAACCATAGAACAATCAATCGCTCTCCTAACAAAGAATTTCAACAGAGTTCTCAAACAATTCAACAAATTTAGAAACAAAAGTGCTTCAATCAATCAAGGGGACTTCCCAACTGGACAAAATCATTCTATCTCAAAAAGAAAAGACAGTTCAAATACAGAAGGAATACAATGCTATGAATGCAAAGGTTTTGGACACATCCAATCAGAATGTGCCACATACTTGAAAAAGAAAAATAAAACATATATATCAACCCTAAGCGATGACTCAGATAGTGAAGAAGATGACAGCAACACAAATTTCGTAGCCTTCACCGCTAGTCATGAAAGCAACAATAGCGTTGACATGCAAGAGTTACTAGAGGCATACACTCAACTAAATGCCAAGTGGGAACAAATCATCAAGAAAAATTTGGAACTCATGGAAGATAATCACTATTTGAAGAATGAAAAAGAACGAATAGAGAAACAATACAAAGAAGCTCAAAACGAACTATTAGACTTCAAAAACAAAGAAGCTAAACTACTACAAGAAATCAAGGAGCTTACCGAAAGACCCAGGACTCCAAGCACAGACACTAGTGAGAATCATCAAACCGAGACACAGGAAGTGTCACAACAGCACTTCCGACACCGAAGAAGAATAAGGTGCTACTATTGCCACAAACTAGGACACATCAAAGCTCACTGCTACAAAAGACAAAATGACTTTTACTACAGGCAAAACAACAGAGCATGGCCATCACATAACAGAAATAATAGTAAGAAAATCTGGGTAAGAAAAGACCAAAATGTTGCATATACTTCCAAAACAAACAAAGAGCAAGATATATGGTACTTTGACAGCGGATGTTCAAGGCATATGACTGGAAATTCAGAAAATTTTGAGAACGTTCAGTACAAAAATGAAGGGCATGTCACTTTTGGAGACGGTGGAAAAGGACAAATTATTGCAAATGGTACCTTGAATGTCCATGGGCTGCCTAAATTGCCAAAAGTCCTTTTAGTACAAAGCCTAAAAGCAAATCTAATCAGCATAAGTCAGCTTTGTGAAGATGAACTCAAAGTAGAATTTTCTAGAGACAGTTGCAATGTGTTTAATCAGAATCACGAGTGTGTCATGATGGGAAAAAGGTCCACAAACAAATGCTACATATGGGATAGTGATCTATCTTGTTTACAGACAACCATCAGTCAAACACAATTATGGCACCAACGTAAGGGACACATAAATTTTCATGACCAAGGAGCATCCAGAGGCTATTCATCAAACAGTGTGATCATTGATGATGTAACTCCAGCAATAACCACTGATGATGACGAAAATCCAAGAGTTGTTGAAACAACTGTTCTAACACCCATGACTAATGATATGCAGAATTGCAGAACAGAAACAGAACCAAATGAAGAAAAGGATAAAAGTCATTCTACTGTCTTAAAAATTCAGAAAAATCATCCTTTGGAAAATATCATAGGAGATCTCAATCAAGGAACAAAGATTAGAGGAGTCTACTGCCACATATCTAAGTTTGAATGCAAAAAACATTAATAAGGCACTAGACAGTAACAAATATGCAATATTAAGCTCTGAAATTGGGATGTGTCACATGTGAAAGAAGTGTAGAGCTTGGGCCCTATCTCCAAATGTCATTCATAAACAGACCCAAATCCGGCCCAATGCCATGGCCCAAGATGTTATTAATCGAAAATTTAAAAGGAAAAATGGTCCTCGTAGTCTTCATGATCATCGTCCCCCAGAGATCACAGATCTTCACAAGGAAACATCAATGGTGAAAACACGTCATCAGGCAAAGATCAAAATTACCTAGAAGAGGCTCCACATCAAAGCTCTCCAACACAGGTGTTTTCTCGAACCCAGCTCGCATTGAGGATGATGACCCCTCAAATATCGTCATGGACCTGGTCCCTACCTCTCAAGTACAGTTGCAAGATGTCCAAGAAATTGCATCTCCTTGCTGAAATCGTGAATAAGTTCCTTCGGGAGAAGATTTTCCCGGACCTCGAGAACAGACCGTACGCGGTGCTGTACTTCCACACCGACGTAGAGAAGAATGAGATCTTCCTCAGAATTTCAGCTCTGCGCTCACTTTTCGACTCCAATCCGGCCTTCGTTCGGCAGAATCTCAAGGCCGTGTATTTTGTCCATCCTGGCCTTCAATTTAGACTCTAATAGCCACCTTCGACCGGATCATGTTCAACGAAGTTTTCTTTTTGTGGCTGTCAAGAAAACAAGAAAATAATGATGAAGTCATAAACAAAGATTCAAGACAGCACTCAGAGATATGTGGAATCAATTAAGGGGGAGAAGAATAGGAAATCAAGCCACTATGAGATCAAGGTTTTTGCCAAAAATTTGACAAAGGGGGAGATTGTTGACTCAAAGTGTTTTGTCAAAATTATGTGCAAAAGGAATTCCAGATCTATAAAGGAATACCAAGCCTAAGAGTAGTTATTGAAGAGTACTAGTTCTAAAGGAAATTGTTATTGAAGTTTTTAGTTCTAGTCTGATTATGAATAACTTTATTATTCACGAATCTGTTAGGAATAGCTACTATAAATAGGGGTTGTCCTTTCTTGTAGAACTCAAGCTTTCAAGATCTAATTGTGAGGTACGAGAGTCTTTGAGAATAGGATATTAAATTCCCCTAGAAAGTAGTACATGTGTTTAGGTTTCAATAGTTTGGTAGGAAAGATCATTCTATTGTGTAATCTCAGGTTCCTAACAGTGTACTTTAAATATTGAACTTTTAGTGGATTTAGGCAAGTTCTCAAATTGAGAAGTGCCTCGCAGATTAGAGTTGATTGCCCGAACTGCGTTACATATCATTTGTGTTACAAACGTTAGCTTCAAACGTCACTGTGTGCTGCGCTTTTATATATTTCAGATATAAAGCCATGGCTGTTCTCTAGGAAGAAAGGTTCAAAGACTTTAGAAGCATATTCTTGTAAGATTGATGTGTATTGGGACCTTTCATCAGCTAAGTTTGGATCTGGTCCGGAGCCGTTGCAAGGATTCTATGTGTGTATTGTCTTTGAAAGGCAAATGCTTCTGCTTCTCGGGGACATGATAAAAGAAGCTCTCAAGAAAACCGGGGCTTCCCCTGCTGCTTCTGGTGCTGTTTTTATTGCCAAGAGAGAGCACATATTTGGCAAGAAGATTTTTGGAACAAAGGCTCAGTTTTGCGATAATGGTAAAATCCATGATCTCGTTATTGAATGTGATACGAGTGGTGGCAGTGACCCGTACCTTGTGATCCGTGTGGATCGTAAGCCAATGATGAAGGTGAAGCGGCTTCAGTGGAAATTTCGGGGTAATCATACCATCTTGATCGATGGCCTTGAGGTAGAAGTGTTTTGGGATGTCCATAATTGGCTTTTTGGTACGACTTTCGGGAATGCAGTATTCATGTTTAAGACTAGTCATTCAGCCGAGAAATTGTGGGCTAGTCAGCCTCTTTGTGATCCCCAGACACAGCATTGGTCCTGGTCACAGAGATTCCGGGAATCCCAGTCGCCTAGTCTTGATTTCTCACTGTTTTTGTATGCTTGGAAGAATGAATAGGGGATTCTGGGATTCAACCTTGACTTGCTAACATTATACTTTTAGTGAGTTGTCATTTGTTGAGTATGTAATTTGATTTAAACTTTATTGTTTTGTCATATATTCAATTTCTCAATTAGTTCAAAGAGATCAGATACAGAGACAATTTTTCATCGTTTACTTGTAAATTATTTAATTGAAGTTCTTGTTCATTTGCCTAATTCCTTTGGAAAATTATAGTAAATTATTTCGTTGTGGAAATTGCAAAGGTTTCTTTGTATGTATTGGCAGCCAATTTAGAGTCTGAATTCTAAACAATGCTTGTACAGGCTGTAATTTCCCCTCTTTCAACTTATTCTTTATGTTTAAGTAATACCAATCACTTATTTCCTTTTTTCAGTTCAACTAATTATAAGCTGTCTATCACCATTCTGTGATCTTCTTGCAGATTTATGTTGCAAGCTCAAAAAATTGTGAAGAAATCTGCACTAAGTGAAGTGATTGTTATGGATTTCGGTATGATTTTGACTTCACTACTTTGCCTGAATTAATATCGTTCAGACTACTGTGTGTCTGTGTATAGTATAGATTAACTTCTGGCTGTGAATTTATTGCAGAATGTTTGCCTTAAATTTGATGCCTGGTTAGGAAGGATTCTATTGATTCTAAGTCATTTCCACCATGTTCAGCACAAATTCTTGAATCTTTTTCCTCTCAATGTGTATGATTAAAATGTGTGCCATTTAGCCTGCAACTAAAGCCAGCATATCCAAATTAGTCTCAGTTCTCTTGCATCATTTGTTGTTCATACAAAATAACCTTTGAATTCAAAGAATTATTGCTAATTATCCTCTAGTTTTGTTTTGGTTTCTGTTTATATGGTCTTATTCAAAGGGACCTCTTTTCCACCAGCAACTGAACTTAGATCATTACAACTTCAAAGTTTGTTTTGTTTACAAAACTCAGATCATTATAACTTCAAAGTCTGTATTAGGTCTCTGTTAATCTGTTATTTTCTTTATTGCAAATTTTCATTAGAGGATTAGCTAGAAGCGGAGAACCAGTTTTTCATGGACTTGACCAATATCCACCATTGATACACGTCATATATTAATGGTGACTAACCACCATGTCAGGACCTGGTCAACGAAACTGGGCCTAGGCAAGAAAAATGGAGCTGAAAGTGAATGCAAGATTACAGTTATAGTGTAGTGTGTTATAGTAGAGATCTCTTTACTACTTGGGACCATTTTCTACAGTTCCAACATTTATTTCAATATGCAATTAGTGTGTTGGCATATTTAATGGGGATTCATCCTCAAGGCCACAATACTAACTCGAGTCATGGTTCATGCTTCTTGTAACTATATTATTTTGTTCGATCTGATCTCCTAGCAGTTATTTCCATATGGCAGCTGGAAGACGATCATATATTATGTTGATCTCCTAGCAGTTTTCTCTTTGATGCTGAGAAGTTGGTTTGTATTTATCTGCTCTGAAAAGCAGCAAAACGAATGAAACTTGATGCCCGGCCTGGCTTCCCATAGTGTTGTCCAGTTGCGGGCAAGAGCACGGGATCCTCATGCTGGTTTTGTCTATATTATCTCACATTCCCACCTATATATGCATCAGATTTGTGATTTGTAGAGTTGTGCAATAGGTTGGTGTAATGTGTATATTTTGTGGCACAAGTTTGTTACCTGCTGCAGCAGCTAATATAATGCACCAAAAAGCTAAGGGGAGGAGTCTGGCAGTATATATTGTCCATGCCCCTGGAACAATCTGTATGTGTCAACATATTCATGCCAGCCAGATCTTGGTCCCCAAATCATGCAAAATTGGTGGTCCAATTATTTATATGCTACTAAGTTTAAAACTATATACCATGGTTGAAAAAATTGCTAGGTGCTTGGGGCGCTTAATTAGACGGCGATTAATCCGTGTATTTTTTATTTTTTAAAAAAATTTGTTTACAGTTTTAAAATTTTTTAAGAATTGATAATTATAAATTATTTAATATTTTATAATTAATACTAAAATATTAGATATTAACCTAAAAACATCTAGAGTTTGAACAATTTAGAATTATTTTGCTTAAAATGACACATCATTTTGAGTGAAATAATTTATTTTTTTTTTAAATGGAACAATATCTAATTAGCCGACTAGGCGACCTAGTCGGTGCCTAGGGTTATTTTTTACTCCCTCAAATGTGCATTTGAATGAAATTGAGCATAAAAAATATCTTTTAGCTCGAAAACTCAATAAACCATATTGAAATGTGCAATGGGATAAAATATAATACAAATTAAGAGTCATCCAGTGTGAATATTTTTCCGCAACTTATCATTTCAAGCTAGCCAAAGGTACCAGCATATCATCATAAGGAGGCTTTGTTGAAACTTTCCCAGAGTTTTGATATTATGGACTAACAAATCTGGGAAAGAGGCAAAGCTTGTAGAGGAGATTTGCAGATATGAGATGGTCCAACAGGAATGAGCTACTAGACAGTGGATAAAAATATGAGAAATGGATTCCTCTTCTGATGCACAAACCCCCCAGTCCTTAGGTTTGCACAAATGCTCCCCAAGCCTTCCACTTAATACCTTTTCTGCTACCATAATCTGCCCCCACCAATATCCATTCATTATTCTCTCATTTCTTTCACAAGATCTTTAGGCAATAGGAAGATACTCACGGCATAGGATGGTAGGGCTTAGACCACACATTTTAAGAGGATTTCTTTGCCAGCTTTGAAAAGAAATTTATGACTCCAACAGACAACCGTGCATTCTATTGTGGATTTTGACTTTATTTAAGCCAAAAATTTCTTTTTTATTTCTTCCCACGAGAGATGGTAGGCCAAGATAATTTCAAGTATTTCCCATACTTCTAATTCCCAGAATATTGCCCACCAAGTTTCTTAAATCATCCCTGACATTGGGACTAAAGTTGATAGAGGATTTGTCATAACTAACAACCTGCCCTGAGGCCCTTGTATAACTCTCAAGAATATCTTTGAGATTTTGGCTTTCTAGAGGTGATGCTTTGCAGAAAAAGAAAAATGTCATCAGCGAATAGGAGGTGAGTAATTTTAGGGGCTCCTCTAGCCACTTGGATACCATGTAAAATATCCTTAGATTCAACTTCTCTAATCATGGCACTGAGGCTTTCTCCAACCAGAATATAAAGCTAGGGAGACAGTGGGTCTCCTTGTCTAAGGCCACGGTGAGGGTTAATAGGTCCTAACAACTCCCCATATGCAAAATATGATACTCTACAAATGTTACACATTTCATAAATAGTCACCCACCAATGGCTGAATCCTGAATCCTAGTTTAGTAAGAACAAGTGAACAACACGAAGAAATGTCCATTCTACCCAATCAAATGCCTTACTCATGTCTAGCTTTATAGTGGCAAATCCATCCTTCCCCTGCCATTTACTTTTAAGATAATGATTCATTTCAAATGCAACCATAACCATTTTCAAAGATAATTCTACCAATTAAGTACAAAAGCACTCTCGGACTCAAATATCACAGTGTTCTTTTTTCAATCTATTAGCCATAACTTTAACAACTAACCACTTTATAAACAACATTGCAATAGGGTATAGGCCTAAGATCTCCCATACTTTCAAGAATAGATTTCTTAGGAATTAAAACAAGTTGAGTGCTATTTAGGCCTTGGGATGCGGATGATCTCCCCTTTTTACTTCAGCTCTGATCTTCTAATGTCGTTAAAATCTCCCATTATGATCCATGGGAGAGAGTTTTGAGGATAAAGTTCAGTCAAGAGATGAAATGACTCCCTCTAGCTTTTTGCCGTTCAGGATTACCTTAGAAACCAGTAAATTTCCACTAGGTAGAATCTCCTTCAATAAGGAGTTAAGGACATGGGCGTCTATATGGTTTTGGTGTAAGATTGGATTATGACTCGAGTCTGATCGGTCCAAAATACAATCATTATACCTTGCACCACGGCACACATAGCAATGTATGTTCTGCGTCTCTCAAAACGACATCATTCTAAGTTGTGTGGGGAGTTACGCGACAAAGTGTATGTGTATTTTGTTATATAATTATGTATATTATGTTATACAATTATGTATATTTTTTTTATACAATTATGTACATTCTTTAATACAATTATATACATCCGAAACATGAATTTTTTTTTTAAGAGTTAAGAGTTTATATGTATTATGTTAAGAGTTTATATGTAGTATGTTAAGAGTTTATGTGTATTATGTATTATGTTAGATTATGTGTATTATACTATTATCTTTTCAAAAAAAAGTATGTGTATTCTGTTATACAATTATGTACATTATGTTATACAATTATGTACATTTTCAAAACATGAATTTTTTTAAGAAATTAACAGCCGACACGGAAAGCGGAATTTCAAAAAAAAAAAAAAAAAACAAAAAACAAAACGACGACGTTTTGCACCAGGGTGCACAATGCAATGTGCGCCCTAGTGCACCATATAAATTGCCTCCAAAATACAACTAGGCCTCCACTATGACTAGAGCAGTCACTAAAGCCCAACTGGTCCTATATAACGTCGTTTTGAACTTTAATTTTAAGTTTTTAACAACGATTACTTGTTCAATTCGCGTTATATAAGTTTTTTTTTGAAAAAAAAAATTCCTGTAAAGCATGTGTATATGTATCTCGTGTTATGCGTTTCTGTATATTATGTTATTCAATTCTGTACATTAAGTGTAAGGATTCTGTACATGAAATTGATTAGTAGTTGTATAACACAAAACATATTGTGTGTCTTATTTTACGAATTTATGTATTGTATTATGAAATTATGTGCCTATATGATAAATTATTTACATAAATCAGATATGAGGATAAGTAAAATTGAAAACATGTGTATATATCTCGTAGTAAAATAGAAAACATGTGTATGTATCTCGTGCTATGCGTTTCTGTACATCATGTTATGCAATTCTGTACATTAAGCATAAGGATTCTGTACATGAAATTGATTAGTAGTTGTATAACATAAAATATATTGTGTCTTATTTTACAAATTTATATCTTGTATCATGAAATTATGTGCGTATAGGACATAAATTATTTACATAAATCACATCTGAGAATAAGTAAAATAGAAAACATGTGTATGTATTTTGTGTTATGCATTTCTGTATCTTTTAATTAACGGTTTTTTTTTTTTTTTTGGAAATTCCGTTTCCTGTT